GTGCACACCGATGTGGGGAGCTGCTTGGTACCTGTTCTTGCCAGGTGACATGCCAGTCCTTGGGGATATGCTGTCCTGATTATAAAGAATTTTGTCTTCAAATTTCTCCATACTCAGGATCTCTTTTGGGAGGCAAAGACTTTTTGATTAACAACACAGCATTTGATGCCTCTTCTGGGCTAAAATGCAGGTAGGCCATGATTTTATATTCCTCTGCCAAAGGGAGGCAAAACTTTATAATCTCACTCTCCAAAAATAGGCAACTAGCACAAAACAAGACCAGTCTATACAGGAGTGAAAACTTTATAAAGTTGTTAGAATCCTGAAATGCACAAAAGTTCTGCTCACTCTCACCCTCAAAGATACCTGTTGACTGTATTTCTCCGCAGGATTGTTTCTTTTAGGTGGAGTTATTGTGTGGCACAATCATGACTCTGCTCATTTTTCCCTTAACATATTAAAAAAGTGACTTTTTGAAAAGAGCTTCCTTTCAGGGCACTTGATTGTCAATATTTCTTTAGCATTTCCCTTTGTGGGAAAGAAGTATTTATTTCTTAATCTGAATGAGAAAACAGCAAGATAGAAATGTAGGTAGGATAGCTGATGTTTTTCCTGTAAGAGAAAGCTGTGGATCCTAAATGTGTCAGCCTGCATCACACCTAGGTGCATGTGGCACATGCAATACATACAGTACACTGAATTTTGATGACCCAGATGTTGTGCTATTGTTTCCACAGGAGGTTCTGAGTGAGGTTTTGGAGTTCTTCCCATCAGGCTAGCAGTACCTGAAAAGGTTTTCAGTTCTTTATTTGGAAAACCTTTGACCAAGGCATTAATTCTGTAAAACACAACTGTGTACTTCGAAGTACCTGCAGAGTTACATAATTCTAGCCAAGGCAAATTCCAGTGTAGACAAGCAAAGGTATTATTTCCTGACAGACCCCAGCTCCCTCTGATACTTGGAGTGGAGATGCAGTCCCCATATATCACTCTTGAAGAGTCACAGGTGGGGTTATACGCCAGACTCTGGGCAAGAGCCCTAACTGGAATCAAATTGTTAAATAACAAGCAGTGCCTTCTGAGTTAACCTTTGCAACATAAATTCTAGAACAGCATGAAATTACTTTCATTGCCCTCACAGGACTTACCAGGAAAAAAAAAAAATCAGAAATTTGCAATAACTGCATCATGGTCATTGTTAGCCACCCTGCAATCCTACTAATGCCATAACATTATCTTCCTCTTCCTGTTGCCCCTTCGTTGCTAATTTATCATGTCTCCCTCCCCCAGCAATTAAATAGGAAATTGAAGGTTTGTAGATTGCTGTATATTTGTGCAGTTCACAGCAGAACTCACATTGATGTAATGAGCAGATTTTTCCAGTTTATATTCCCTGCTACACGCAAAATAGGCCCAGACTTTAAAAGATCCACACACAACCCAAGATTGTTTTTTGAAGCACATTCAAAATTTTCCTTCTATCTATGGTGACACTGAAAAGTGTTTTCAACATCTACAGATTCAAGAAGAAAATCATAACCAGTGGCTATATTGACAAGGATGGAAAAGCCCACTGCATCTCCCCATTGCTTTATGAGACTGGTTTCATCCCTTTTGAAGTTTCTACAGATGATGGGTTAACATTTCCCTACTCTGGAACTTGGTTATCAGGTTACTTATATCTACAGCATCCCTCTTCTCCCTATATTCTTCCTCCATGCATGCAAGATTGTATGTCTTTTCTTTTTGAGCAGTTTTATTCTTCCTTATCAGGCCTCAGAAAAGAAAGTCTCACTGGCCTCATGTTAATTTATCTTTTGAGAGATGAATTTTCATAGCAATTGAGTAGCAGCAGCAGCATTAACTGATAAAAAATCCTGCTTAAAAATGATGACCAAAATCCTGCTTAAAAATGTTCACTAAAACAGTTCCCACTTCATCCCTACTTCTATCCCTTTTTGTCCCTTCTTCAAATAATTGCATTGTGGTTTTGCAATCTAAGGACTGCAAGTATTAGTAAGGGTTGTGTTTTCTCAGCTTCAGCTGATTCTTTTCATGTCATGCATCCTGTGCTGTGTAAAATATACCCAGGGGAAATCCTGCTAAATGTTAAATAGTATAGTAGCACTTTTTCAAGACTATGCAAAGCCAAAATGTCATTAGCCCTCTTTTTCTGCTCTGCAATGCAGTACATCACAACAAAGTTTCAGATGAAGAAAAATGCACATTGGTAAATGAGACAAAATGGCAATACTATGGCACCCCCAACACTGGTGGAAACTTAACTCTTACCTGGACACACCAGACACTTGCAGCCACCCAGGTCAACATAGAAGTCTGGGGATACCAGGAAACAGGTAAAGTGACCCTTTTCCTACAAGCATTTATCACACACATAACCTCTGTGCAGAGCTCTGCACAGCTGGTGATCACTTTCACTGAGACCTGCAAGTATAAATAACTGATGACAACAATGTCAGCTTTTCCTCTTTATTTACATATGGGTGCAGACATCTAATTTCAATCTTGTGGAAATTGTTCTTTTCCAGCATCCAAAACCCTTTTCTTCCTCTATCTGGCAGGTGACAGTTATTCAGAAAACTGGATGGCTGAATGGAAATACCTTTATACTTTGGCAAGAGAAATCCCCAATACAGGGAAATATTCTTTCGTGCCTGTACCTGCCAAAGGAAATTACAGTACATGGGACTATGGAATTTTGAGAATTATACCCAACAGCTATTCTGATGGGCAGAGGCAAGTGCATCACAACTAATAATAATAATAATATCTACCTTATAAGCTGTTGTCTCCTTTTGCATTTCAAAACTGAGACTGGGGCTCCATTTCATGTGAAAAGATGGGGAGAAAACTGGAAGGTCAAAAGTGAGAAAAACTACAAGACGCTTTTTAATTATAATTAGCAATTGAGCCACAGTGCTACTGTCAAAATAGTGCTTGTTCAGCCATGAGATCTATTTTTTGGGTTTTCTTCCAGCAATATTCCATCAATCTGGAGCTCAGACCATGCATTGGCTTGGCACCTTGAGAAAGACTTCAGAAATGACCCAAATGCATGGGCAACTGCAAAATGTATTGAATGGGACAGAAAGGAAGACTTGCTGCCAAACTTCATTGAAGAAATTATAGACTGCCCTTGCACCTTGGCACAGGCAAGAGCTGACACTGGCAGGTTCCATGTAAGTTATTAATTGATCCCTCTGGCTTATTACAATTCTGGGTGGAAGCTTAAGGAGTGCCAAACTCCACACACACCCCTGTTCACTCTCTAAACATCGTTACAAGGAAGTTAAGTTACATTTCGATTTGCCCAAGTAGCATATCAAATGGCAGAAGTAAATACAGCTTATCTAGGTAGTATGAATAAAAGTGCCTATAGAATAGGAGATGGAAATGACATTCAAACAAGGAATCAAAACAGTAGTTCTAATAGCAGACTGAAAGCACTCTGTGGAGTTGGGAGCAGGGACGACTTCTTGGAGATCCTAGAAGATGACAGTCTGTGTTTGAAGGTGATATCCCATGCTGTGACAAACTATTTCTGCCAAGTTTATCATACTTTGCTGCAAACCCTTCTGCCTTGTACTTCAGAGCTCAAGCCCAGAGCTGTAATCCATTATTTCCTTTATCCTGCTTCCTTCCTCCTTCTCAGCTTCACTGTTATCAAGGAACTGACTAAAGCTGAGAAATCAATTGCATTCAGTCTACACTTTCACTTACACTGCTGATCTGAGGACCAGTTGAGAGTGACTTCCTCTCCTATTTATGATACCAAATGGCGGCATGTGTTTATGCATTAAAAAAAAAAAAAAAAAGTTAGGCAAACATTGTTACTATTCTGGTTATGAAGCTGCAAACATGATGTGTAAAAGAAGATAAATAATAGATCTACTGCCTCTGTCTAGGAACATAATATAAACACTTACTCTGCTGTGCCTGTGTTTGTTGTACACTTATATTTGAATCCCTATCTGGCTGCATTTGTTCTTCAAGGTCTGTTGTAAGAGACTGCAAAATGTTCAGGTCAGATTTGTTACTCCAGACTCTTCAGTATTAAATTCAACATTTTTCCTGTCATTCCACACTGTTCAACACAACCTTAACCAGTTCATGTCAACTTTACACACATGTCAGATACAAAGGGTGGGAACAGAATGTAAGAACAGAAAGGACAACGAGGAAAGAACCCCATTAAGTGTGAACATTGATCTTTTTCAGACAGATTATGGCTGTGACATTGAAAAGGGGAGCGTGTGTACTTATCATCCTGGTGCTGTGCATTGTGTAAGAGGCATTCAAGCCAGGTAAAGAACATTTTTTAAGCTGCAATTTTTTTATTAATTCTTTCACCTCAGAGACAGCAGCATCGAGAAGTCAGGGGTGAAGTCTAACTGGACATCAGATAAAGCTTGGCAAACTAAATATTTATCTGTATCCATAAAAATCAGTAAGCAACCCCTAAACAGAAACGGACCCCACAGAGCTAAATGATGATTTTCTTGCTGCTTTTCTCAATCAGTCCCAAGTATGGGGCTGGACAGCAGTGCTGCTATGGCTCCACGGGAACCCAAATCCTCACGCACGACTCCACCGGAGGCAGCACACCTGATCGAGGACACGACTGGGGTTCACCACCTTTCTTGAAGCCTCCCCGGATACCTGGCTTTTCCCATTGGCTTTATGATGTTATCAGCTTCTATTACTGCTGCCTGTGGTCTGATAATTGCGACTTCTATATGAAAAGGCGGCCCTCTAGTGACTGCAGGACGTACCGCCCGCCCCGAGCTGGTAAGGGCTTCAAAATTTCCTTTCTGGAGTGTAGATTTTTGATACAGTGTTGGCTTTTAGAATATTTGTATATGTGCATACATTAGTTGACAATGGTGAGGGTACAATGTCCTGTGGAAAAATTCTATGGAAGGTTTCGATTGATCCATCACTTACAAAATCTGTTTGTGGTTTTTAATTGTGCTGCATGATTTTCTGCTGTTGAGCATCTCACTCACCCCTGGAACCTAAATAGCCAAAGCATAGTAGTCAATGTCCACGACTTTATATCATCAGTGTGGACTTCTTCAGAAAAAAAGGTGGTTAGAGATGGTTAATGACAGGTAGAAAGTAGCTAGAAAAACTGTCATGATGAGAAATATGCACATCAAATAAGGAAGTTTTACAACTTACAATGTGTCTGGTTTTCTCCCACTTGCTTTTAACTCAGTCTTCAAGTCTTGCCATACCTCTGTTGCTACCACATTTTGCCTTCTATCCTGCTGAGATGCTGAGGTGTCCAGCAGGACTTGGCCTCCCCTAAAGAAGTGCAAAGAGGCAGCAGTTTGCATCAAGAAAAAAGGAGAAAACTGTAGAAGGCATTGCATTAGCTAGTTAGGGGTCATGAATGAGTGGTCTGGCTGCTTAAAGAAACCCCATCAAAAGTATTGGCAGAAGCAGAGTTTGAATTTGTGAAAATACAACTTTACAACTTGATGGCAAGGTGCATTGAATTGGTTACTACACAGATTAAAGCATACAAAAGAAGATAAATTAGAAGAAACTTGGAGCAATTTACATGGAAGTTGGAAATGCAAAAGGGGATAAAGGATATGGATGCAAAGATAAGGCAATAGCCCCGTATTCATGTCCTCATCTCCCCATATATTGCATGTGACACAGACTTTTAGCCTCTTTTCTTTCTCATGAACTTGAGGAGTAACAGGCTGTGATTTTTGCTTGTTCTTAATTCTCTTTTTGCTTTTATAAATAGCATCTGCTTTTGGGGATCCTCATTTCCTTACATTTGATGGTCTGAACTTCACCTTCAATGGCCTAGGAGAGTATACATTGGTGGAGTCTGATCTCACATCCCTGAGAGTGCAAGGGAGGACACAGCAGGCACACTTTTCCAATGGTAAGTAAGTAAGAGAGGAAGCAGAGCTTCTGAAATTCTGAGATTTACAGAATTGAGATTTGATATTTGCTTGATTTGCACTTTGAAGCAATCCTCCTGTCGTCTCTAGTCTTCTTTTGTGGCTATTTGTGAACGGTCACCATTCTGAAGAAAATCAGAAAGCAGACAAGATCTTCAGGAAAAATTTCCCAGTCAAAGTTTAATTGCTAGTTTTATTGGGTGTGAGTAATGGAAGTGTAAGATTTTCTACTGTGTTTTAAGAGGTAAAAAAAAATTCTTATTTCTCTTCATGCCCATACTCATAAATAAGGAAACATAAGGCCAGTTCTAGAAATCAGTCAATAGGCACAGCTGCCAGCTGATGCATTTTGATAGCATTGTTGGTTTTTTCTTCTTTGGAAGGAACTGGGGCTCGGGGGACAGGCTTGTCTGCAGTGGCCATGCAGGAGAACAACTCTGATGTGATTGAAGTGCGCTACTCGGAGGATTTGCATCTGGAGGTGCTCTTGAACCAGAGGGTTCCCAGCTTCTCTGAACAAACTTGGATGGACTTGAAAGGTTAGTTACACATATCAGCCCTTGTAAGCAATTCCACTCTGATGGAGTCCATGGACAGTTAAAAGTGTCTCTAGGTGCATGCATTTCAACTCTTTTCAGCATCCTTTGGTGAAGTGTTTTAACAGGTGGCTTCAATGTCTATGGTTTTTATGTTCTTTTTCACTTGTTTATAGAGCAATGGTTTTCCTCCTCATCCAGTGGACAGTGAATGGAATTAAAAATTCTGTCCTTCACATTCTGCTTTGAGCTTACTGCATCTAATGCAATGAAGCCTACCAAATAAAATGAAATATAGTGAAATATAACTAAAATATATACTAAACTATAACTGAATTTTACATTTACCTATTGAAGGCTCTCTCAATAGGTCAGATATTATTCCTCTATTCTTCTGCCAAAAAGACTATCAAAAGTTGACTTTTTGCCCAACAGGGCTGTGATCGTTTGATTAGTCTTAATGATAATTTGACAAATACTTATCATACATCACTTCAGTTTTAACAGGAATCCCCCTATTCAGCAGAGGAAAATTTCTGTGGCTAGCAATTATCACTCTTCACATGGCTGAAGAGCAGGTGGAGGGCTGCACTGACAAGGAGCTGCAGAAGCAGAGATGCAGGGAGGAAAAAGAATGGAAGGGACATTGAGAGGGCCTGGAGAAGAAGCCATATTAGGGAGATGTTTATAAGACAAGGGAGAAGGAGAGGAAAATTGTGACTCCTGGGAGTGGTGCTTCCAGCTCACAGCCACTCTCTGATGTGAACATCTCACATATTTAAGCTTCTGGGCTGGGACACTGGCAGGAGGCATCTTATATCAACAGTGGACCTTTCTTTGCTTCCACTCCCTAGCAGACATCTAATCACAATCGTAGTGTGAAGGTGTGGCTTCCCTTTAAATGATTCTCAGAGTGCAGCTCAGAGTGGAAGGGAGGAAAAGCTGTATGAAAAATGGTTAAAACTGATGATTTTGACTGATGCTAAAACACAACAATTTTTTTCACTATGGATAATTAGATATTTTGTCCTCTTCCTCTCATTGTTGCAGGTCTCTTTCTCTATTCTACACCTGATCAGAACATCACAGTGATGTTCTCTTCTGGGTCTGGAGTGGAAATAAGGGGAAGTGGAGGATTTCTGACCCTGACAATTCTGCTCCCAGAGAAGTTTATGAATCACACATGGGGTCTCTTTGGGGTAATGAATGGCAATCCAGAGGATGACTACACCTTCAAGAATAAAACCACCATGTCAGTTCATGCAAGTCCCCAGCAGGTGTTTGAGTTTGGAGCTAGCTGTAAGCAATTTCTCTGGTCTATTATTACATTTTCTTTACAAATTCAACACAACTCATGATTTAAGGACTAGGGAATGAAATCAACCAAGCAACCAGTACTGGGGGAAGAGAAGAAGTAAGAGAAATATGTCCTCCTCTATCCACTTGGGGAGTGAAAACAGAACCATGATGGAGTGTTCAGCACTTTGTTCCATCAGGAGTCAGACCTCGTATTTCACAGCTTACACTCTCAGAATACCATCTACTATGGCCAGCTGAACACAGCTTCAGCAGACTGCAGTGTTTCAGAGGTACAGCAAAAGCCAGGGCCAGCTATATTTTCCCAGAACATTGGCAATGTTTTCATCATGTGCCACGCTGACAATTTAAGAAATCATTTATTAACTCACAATTTAGTAATTGTCCCTTTAAAGAAGAGGGTGTGGGGGGATGTGTGTAAAAGAATGGATTTTATCATTTAATGAGTGATTAAGATGCTCTATCTAACCTGCAGCATTAGATTGGTCAGCATTCCTTCTGACATCAGGTTAGAAGATGGGCTAGAAACAAAGTAAAATTCCCTCTGGCTACCAGTTGATCTCTGTAGTGAGCACAGTGTAACCATACTCCAGGGTTCAGATCATAGCAAAAAGTCTCAGTGCTTCAGCCTCAGGAATCTCTCTTTCTGTCTCCCAAGGGGCTATTAAAAATGGAACCTCTCTCTTTACTTATGACACGGAGTTCTTACTGGACAGTTTCTTTTATGGGGACAAGCACAATGCCTCTTTTCTGCCCGTGTTCTCCCCTCATGAAGACCCTGCTGATCCCCTGCTAGAAGAGATGGCCTCACGCTGTGGCTCTGACCCATTCTGCAGATTCGACGTCCTGACAACAAGAAGCCTCCAAGTGGGAAGTTCCACAAGACTTTCCCATCAGAATCACAAGCTGCTGGTAGAACATCTAGAGCCAGGTGATACAACATTCCATGAAACATCATTGCAGAATAACAGGATATTCTGAGTTGGAAGGGACCCATTGGGATCATCAAGTCCAAATCATAAGTGAACGGCCCATAGGGAACATCACTACAGTTATTTCTACAGGGCATCTAAAGGGTTAACACTGTTTGAGGAGGCTTTACTTAACTGTAAGTTCATGCACTTATAAATAATGTGATTATGGGGAATCATCTTCATACCAGGAAATCTCTGTACTAATAGAATAATTAGGCAAACTTAAAATAAATTTGTTTCCATTTCTTCCACTATAACACCACAGTGTAGAAAGTTTATTTTATGTGCATGAAGCTGTCATCCTTAATTTTAAAATAATTTATTCCTTTATTTTAAAATAAATTTTAAATGTAGCAGGAAGTACTGTCTTTCAGATAGCCTAAAAATATTTGTTTTTCCATGAGTTGCCACTAAAATGCTGTTTGAATCATTGTAATGGAGATTTTCTGGTCTAAGTCCTAAATATTCTAACCAGCTATGTCTCTTTTATTAGTGATTTCTTGTGGCTGGCTGGATCACCCAACCAATGGAAGAAAGAATGCTACTAACTACCTGCTGGGCTCAGTCATCAATTTCACCTGCAATGAGGGCTATGAACTCACGGGCTCACAGGAAAGAACTTGCCAAGCATCAGGAGCCTGGTCAGGAGACACACCCCAGTGCAGCCCAGTAACAGGTCTGTTGCCTTTTAGATATCACATATTGTCACTAAAAAAATCATTATCAAGAACAAGGCAATCTCAGTATACCATGATGGCCCTTGGCAAAAGCAACTTTTCTTGCTTGGTAAAACATTGGACATGAGATGTCTGAATTTCTAGAAAGACTATTATTCAAATCAAATAACAGTTGACTTATGGTGGTTTTGTGCATTTTGGTGGAGGTTTTAAAGTTTTTCTTTTATCAATGGGTACAGGTACCTGAAGGGTGGGTGAAAAAAGGATGGAGCCAGGATTTTTTCAGTGGCACCCAGGGACAAGACCAGAGGCCACAGGCATGCTCTGAAACAGCAGCCTCCCTCTGAACATCAGAAACCCCTTTTTTACTGTGATTATGACTGAGCACTGGCACAGTTTGCCCAGAGAAGTTCCAGAATCTCTCCCTCCCTGGAGATATTCAAAAGTTGCCAGGTCATGGTCCTGGGAAACTCATTCTGGGTGGTCCTGCTTGAACAGGGGAGTTGGACAAAATTACCTCCAGAGGTCCCATCCCACCTCAACTGTTCTCTGATTCTGTGATTTGAGAGCAGAAATTGTTGAACCCTTCCACTCTTTTTTCAAAAAGATTATATTATCTCAAAGCACAATTCTACTATTTTATAGCAGTAAAAGTTTTATGAATGATTTAGTATAAATAACATAGATTTATTACCCCTCTTGTGTTACTACTAACAGATTATCAGTTAGCCTGGGATTGTTGGATTTAGTAGCAGTTTAGTAGCATAGGCTGTCTCTATGATTTACAGAAAATGGCCCAAAATGTTCTTTTTATTCATTCACCACATACACTCCAAATGTCCTCAAGATGGCAATATTTCAAAGCACCAGGATGGTGCA